CGACGGAGCGATACCAATATCAATATAACTATCCTCTTATCTTAGAGCCCTCTAAAATAAAACTGTAATCTCAGTGAACTACTGAACAACTCACAGTTCTCTTCAACGATCCTTGTAACTTAACGATCTAAACTTTTCTCAACGTAACCTTCCCACGGCTGACGATTCCAGTAACAGTAAATAATTCCTACAACTCTCCGTAGTCCGGCTCTGTAATAACACTAGTCCTCTGGGCTCTTCACGACAACACTAACCCACTGAAAAAGACCTGACTTTAACCGATCGCGACATCTTATATATGTTTTAAAGAATGTTATAGAACATTCTAGGGATCAGTAATACAACTATGTTTAGTATCATTACATTACTATTGCCTCATAACAAAATATGCTGACTAAGGGTTCTAGAAAGTTCCATTAAGAGTTCTCAGTGGGTCAGCATGACTAACGGTTCCAGAAACCTCTTCAGTTCTATTTTTAGTAATTATGTGACAACGCTCTCCATAACGATACTACTTAACTGAGAAGGCCTACAGTGACTTTATCCCACTTCTTTTAGACGAAAGTATTATTTGTAATCCTAATCATTATTATTAAGTAAAATTCAGGTTGACTACCTCTCACATCCTAAAAGAGCTCTACACCTACTTGATATTATAAATTGTTATTTTATTGTTATAAAGCAAGTCCAGCTCGCTTTTACAACCCAACCAATGTGCTATATTATACAACATTTATCTATATTATTGCATCGAGATAATCTCCATGACTTAAGTTGCAAAAGGCATTCGTTACTGTAAAACTTTAAAAATTATGCAAACGTGGTAAGCCAACGTAAGTACCATTTTAGATTTTAAAAAAAGTTCGCCAACCTAACTTTCCCTCTCCACAATGTAAATAACAATTCAATATTTTAACTGGCACGAAGGCTACGAGAGAACCAAAAAACTTTTTGAACAGACAGACAACCTTTATTTTAGCACGATAGTAATAAAAGCTATGCAGCGTCTGGGGTCAGGCATAAATACTAAGCCTAAGAACAAAATGTATACA